TTCCTGGTACCTATACAGAGCATGCAAGGGAGCTGTACAAGCAATGCACATATGGATGGCGCTCCCTTGCAGCCATACACCCAGCCCACCCCAACTCAAGCTGACACTGAAAGGCTGCTTGGTGGGAGAACTGACAGCACTGCGCTAGGGGGAGGCTCAGGAGTCTCTCACCTAGCACAGTGAAACGCGCGCGGGGAGCCACTGAACATGGGTTTGCAACCACGGGCTTAGTAAGATATTTTTTTTATTTATGCAAACCTTTAAAATATTTATTTTTTTAAACCTGAATGGCGCTTCTTAGGAAAAGACTGTAACACTATGCACTGTAAATGGCCAGACAATGAAGCATCAAGGTGTTTTTTTTAATAGTGGAGTTAATGGGAGCAAGTGGAAAGTTTTTTCCTCCCACCTGTAGAAAAGTAACTGCATTGTAGTGCTAAATTAAAGTAGTATCATACTCTTAACCTTATTTTCAACATTTAATTCAGATCAAACAAATATACATTACTGACAAAAGTATTTCTTTCTATTTTTGCCCCAAGCACTTACAGTCATCAAGTTTCCAACCAGTTTCAACTCTCTTAGCTTGGCTTCCCTGAACTTCCTGTCCAGTACAAGATCACAGGGGACAGAGTAGTCTCCAGCAGCCATCCATCTACTAGCTTGGAGAAGTGATAAGGTAGGCATTGTCTTGCCTTGCTGTGCCTGTGTGTTTGTAGAGACACACAGCTTACTATCACACACAAGTTTGGCTCCATAGGACCCTGCGAGGGAAAGGAGCCACCCTAAAACAGGATATCAGGGCCAGTGCTCAGAGGACCAGCTGATGCTGCAGGAAACTAAAACATTGTTACATTAAGGAGCAGCATCCTTTGTAAGAGATTTATTTAACATTTGAAAAAGCTTAACAATCCTAATATCCTTAAAAAAGGTCAAAATATAACCTTTGGGGGTCCACGGATGACCACATGATTATTAAACATATAAACCCCCTTTTTGAGGGAAAAGTTCAATATACATGTCTAAATATATATCCATGAGCTAGAGAGATGGCCTCTCTTCTGGACCCAGTTGCCTCTGTCCCTTTTTCTTCCACAAATCTGATAATCTTAAGCTCCTTGGCAAATGGTGGGATTTGGTTGGTATGGACTGTAACCGTGATCTTCCCCATGCAAGACAAAGGGGGTTGTTCACTAAAGAGCCGAAGGATCAGCCGTAGCTTTGGTTCTCTGCGGCCCGCTGGAGCCCTTTCGGTTCAGTCGGACAGAAGGGCTGTTGTATGGACTATTCACAATAGCCTGTACAGCAGCCGAAGGCGGGCGGGCGGCTCAGCTGAGCGGAAGGCATATGCATAGGTTTGACTGAGCCGAAGTGTTTGGACAAAAATATAAAGAAATACTTTGCAGAGCAATGGATGTATATTTGTTTGATCTGAAAACGTTTGAGTTTAAAATTACTTTAATCCTGGTATGGATTTTGGAGGGGACACATGTCCTGTTTACATTTACATTTTGTACATTTTAAACTGGGGTAAGTTAAGATTTTGCTTTTGCTGAAGAAAGGTGGAGAAGCGCTGCTATTGATACATTTCACAATTGGTCAGGGACTGAACAATGGAAATCTGTGGGCACGCTATGATGAACCTTGGTAAGAGAAATGTGTATTTGTTTTAAACCTGCATGCCGCTTCTCTAGAAAACCTGCATGTTACACTATGCACTGTAAATGGTTGGACAATGAAGCATCTAGGTGTTTTTTATACTGGAGTTAATGGGAAGTGGAAGTGGAATTTTTTTCCACCCACTAGCAAGTGGAATTTTTTTCCTCCCACTTGTGGATAAATAGTAGTCCTAACATGAAGGGTGTACATGTAACTTTTGGGGTACACAGAGGACCACATAATTAATTAAGATAACATTATGATAAACTCCTTGTTGAGGGTGAAGTTAATATATCCCTGTTCTGAAGAGACAGACTCTCTATTGGACCTAGATGCCGCTGTCCATCTTCCTTCACATATGTCTGATGATCTCATGGGATTGTACAACCTCTCAAACAACCACCCCAATACCACAGACCAGAACAATAACACACTGATAAATAATGAAACATCAGGAACCAACTTGTGCAAAAATATGGCTGCAGCCCCTGGGCTTTAAAACAGACTGTGATAACTTTATTATTTCTTATAACAGACCATTATTTCTTATAACAGACCATAATGGCCAATTTACAATGTTGTAGATAACACATGCATTGAAACGCATGTGTCCAACTTCTCCATAATAAGAATAGTGCCAGTTCCAATATCAGAGCATTTATATAAATACGACTTGTCTGTTTTAGTGCATTGGGAGGATCATAGAAATGAATGGCAGCACATATAACATGCACATTGATGCATTGGCAGCAGGTATTGCCAAAATGCATTGAAAATGACAATCAAATGTGTGTCAACGCACAAAGGGAATGCATGTTGTTGCGTCACAACGTACCTGGCTAATGCTACAAATAATGCTCCTCTATGCATATGCATATTTCTAAATGTGCTTTTTAGCCCTTTCCCTGCCAGCACCGTATGTAGGGTAGGGTGACACTAGGGGTCTGATAGACCTCTAATATCACCTTAAAGATAACCAGAGGCTTATGTGAGGCTTATGTGATAGGAATAGAGTTAAGTAAAAAAAAAAAGTTAAAAAAATCAAAGTTAAATAGAATAAAATGTAAAAATGTCCCAAAAAATGTTAAAGTCCCCTGCCCCTGTGAACGTGTGCATACTAACTTAAACATGCATTGGGTGTGCCTACATACGAAACTAACAATTGTACTATACATGTTGGGTATGACCGCATGTGCCAGAGTGAGAGCAATAGTTATAGGGCCAATATTCATGGTTATCCCTAACCTGATGACCTGTACAGCCATTTAAAGCGTTGCCTGTGGACAATCTGGGGTACTGTATTTTGTCGCCGTTTCACAGGCGCACACGATTTTTAAGCTTGGTATGTTGAGTATCTATTTACTCATCATAACCTCATCTTTTCTATTTTACAAAAATGTGTATCATACTGTGTTTTGGTGCCCTAAAATGAACTTAAAGGAGAACTATGAGGTGAGTGCTTTTCACCCACCTCATAGTTCTAGCCGACCTGTGACAGTCTCATTGTCACAGGTCGGCTCAGTAGATCGGGAGGTGAGCGAACACATACCGGCGTTCGCTCACCTCCCGATCTACTGAGCCGGCCTGTGACAGTCTCATTGTCACAGGTCGGCTCAGTAGATCGGGAGGTGAGCGAACACATACCGGCGTTCGCTCACCTCCCGATCTACTGAGCCGGCCTGTGACAGTCTCATTGTCACAGGTCGGCTCAGTAGATCGGGAGGTGAGCGAACACATACCGGCGTTCGCTCACCTCCCGATCTACTGAGCCGGCCTGTGACAGTCTCATTGTCACAGGTCGGCTAGAACTATGAGGTGAGTGCTTTTCACTCACCTCATAGTTCTCCTTTAAATGTTTGTCCGGTGCGATCAAAATAGTGCTTGCAGCATTTTGATCGCACCGGACCGCAGGCAAAATGTGCATTGCGATCATGTGCGGACAATCGAATTGTGGCCCCCTCCTGCCCCACAAAAAAGTGAGCCGGGCGCAATGCCAAGCAGTGCATTCTGGCCAGAATCGGGCCGGAACGTACTGCATCTGGTGTGAACGAGGGCTCAGGGAAGGTGATTTGAGAGATTTGGAGCTGTTTGGAAAAATGATGACTGTAAGTGTTTGGGCTAAAATGTAAAAAAAAAAAATGTATATGTACTGTATATGTGTTTGATCTGGATTTACTAATGATAAAAAGCTTGAGAGTTTAATACTACTTTAGGTATGTAGGCAAAGGACACGCCCCTGTCACGCCTCCAGTAACATGAGGATTTATGCACAAAAAAGATTGGTTTAACGAAAACTTTATATTTGTTTTTATAATTTAATATAATTTTGTTAGCTGTATTTTAGCTTTTTTATTAAAGGTTGGATAAAAAGGTTTAGTGCAGTAAAATACTTTTGATGGGTAAATAATAGACATGTGCGATTTCGAACGAAATTTCAGACATTCGGACGTATCCGAATCCCGAATTACAGATATAACGAATGCAAACGAATCCGAATTTCCGATTCCGAAATTCGTTATCGGTAGTCTGTACGAAATTTCGTTTGACAATATTGTATTGCAGCAAAATTACATTTGAGGAAAAAAAACATATTTTTTTCCCTCAAATGTCTTTTCTGCCACGAACGAACTGCAAACGAAACGAACTTTCATACAGACTACTGCTAACGAATTTCGTCTGAATCCCAAAACAAATGGACTTTTGGACCCGAATCCCGAAAAACAAAACATGAATCAAAACGAAACAATTTTTTTGCTGGTGCACATGTCTAGTAAATAGTAATGTTTTTTTAGAGATCTGACCAGAAAGATGGACAACTGAGGAAGAAAGAGGGACAGAGGGATTTGGTTCCAAAACACGGACAGTCCCTCCAATACGGACGGACAGCTGGTAGCTATATATCTCATCTCAGAAAGTTGGGAGGTATGTCACAGGGACGGGAAGTGATGTAAAATTTCCCCAAAGGGCAGCAATACAAACTCTTGCTCTTCCTAAGTCTATCCAAAACTAAAAAAGAAAAAAAAAACTTTGCCATAAATAAGCCTCTAAACATAAACTGCTTCTAAAGTTTGTCGCAGTTTCACAGGCACAATCATTCCAGAACCCAGGCAGCCTCTACAACGCGGTACGTTTTTGATCGTTTGCTATAGTTTAGCACTTTAGTTAATGCATCAGCAAGCTGAATGACAAAAAAAAAAAGGTAAAAAGAAAAAAAGCCAAAGGCTATTTAAATACATCCAATAGATGGCAGAGGTGAGCCTACATCCGGGAGCACAGTATGCTGTCAATAATAATAAGAAAAAAAAAACGCAAGCCGTGCTGTATGTCTACAGTGCAGGCAAGGACGAGCGAGGGAGTTTACTGTGTGTATGACACTGAGAGGAAAGTCTTTGGAGAGCTAGCAGCCTGCTGTTTCGCCTTCGACTCCGGTTGCTCGTGACAGCTGTAGCCATGCAGGCTGAATCAGGAATTGTGGCAGATTTCGACGTAGGCGAAGACTTTCACGAAGAGCCGAAGACGTATTATGAGCTGAAGAGTCAACCTTTAAATTACAGGTCAGTGGCATCACATCTGCTTTTCAACTCCAGCTCTTTTGCCATCGGTCATATTCCGCGCTCCATAGTGGAAAGGTTAAATAAATGGCACATATATATATGCATATATATTCCTTGCGAAGGTTATTCCCTATATGGCATAGCTGTAAAAGATTTAAAGGACCACGGCAGCTTGATAAAAGTTGAGTTGTATTCATTGCGCTAAACAACTACGGCCAACATTCAAGAAACGTCCTTGTAAAAGTCTCCACGCTTGCACAAATTTTCTGTCAAAATTGTAACTTTATGATGCAGCTCTTATAGCTGTCAAGAGGTAGTCAAATGACAGTTGCCGGCGTTCTCTTAAGACTACAAGACAGTAACTCGACTATGCATTCGCAAAAATTGTTCTCCGGTATACCAATTTGATGTGCATTATCCGAATGGCCTGAAAAATTACATAAACCTGAAAATGTTCCTAAAACCCGACGACATCGATTTAGTGGCCCTTTAATCGCTACGAGTCCGGGTCGTTCTAGGCTTCATTACAGTCTAGAACTTTGCGGGAAAATAGGTTGCTGGATTGTGTTAGTGGTTATGGGAACTACAAAATAGAAAGTTCTGCTATGTACAGTGATAATGAATGCTTTTTGCTGCTATGAAATGCCTAGTTCTGTTCGGAATTCTAGTTGCCATGCAAGGTTAGCTTGCAGATTAATTGCTGCCTCGGCATTATCGGCAGTTGAGCTATTTCAGTTTGCGTTTGGTCACCTCAAGCTGACGGTTGGTGGCGGTGCAAACTTTCTGTACGCTGCAGAACTTCTTGCTTGGGTCGTTGTTCTGTAACAAACCTTGACAACCCAAGAACATCCTGTGGGCTTTTAGCATCATACAATAAAAATGATGTGTGTACGGTGTTGCTAGCAGGTTCCATTGTATAATATTGTTGAGGATTTGATTTCATCACTGCCTTGATTTAAAACTTGATATGGCTCAGTGTTTATTACTTAGATGCACTTAAAGTGAACCTGTCAACTCTTGACACTTTACCTGTGACCTCAGCTTCGGCTCCACCTTGGAGTTATGCCACACCTACCACCCCCACCATCTCACAAACCAATAAGAGTGCTGGTGTGGGTCAGTGAGGTGCTCCAAATGGTTTGTATAAAGGAAGAAGATGTGCTTAAGGTTAACCATTACCTGCCTGGATTGGGAAGAGTAGCAGGCACATTTGAGCAGGCTACACAAGGCATGACAGTTGGCCACTGAGGAACTACACCCTACATTATGGAAAGCAGAGGGTAGTGTTATATGTTCCCCCTATACCCAGAATAACCCTTTTGGACAAGCTATGGAGGAAGATTGGCATAACATGGTAGCATGGGCAAGCAAGTATGTGTTTATGTTGGCTATGTAGCAAACCTGTTTCTTTGAATTAAAAGTTATTATTGATCTACGAACCCTCTGAGGCTGGAGTCCACAGTTTTAATCCAATCAATCAATAATTCCAAATACCAAATACTGTTTTAGGACTACAACTGACTTGAGCAATTTAGTATGAGAACAGGAATGTATGATAAAACTTCAGTGCTCAAGTCTGCTGTAGTCCTGAAACAGTATTTGGTCTTTGAGTTGAATCCTTTGTCTAATCTTGAGTACCTATAGGCACTTGGTGCTGCCTGCTCCTTTTCTGTATTGGTAGGTAAAGAATTTAGAAAGAAGTGACAGGTTCACTTAAAAAAAAAAAAGCTTGTGCTTCGTGTGATGGTACCAATGGCATGTACAGGAATGTATGAGAACACCCCAGCACGTGTAATGATATAGAGGACTTTTTCATGTTGCTTTGTTGAGCAGGCAGTGGTTCGTCTTGCTTTTGATAGAAAATAATTGCTCCCCGCTATGCAAGCTTAATAATGATCATCTCATTTTCTCCTGGACTCCTGAAGCCTTGACATACCTATCTATGGTTATCATAGGAGACCATCAGGAGTCTTTTCGGATAGAATGTGAACGTGTCAGATCTTAGGCTTTTAGAGTCGACAGCTTCTCTGTTGGAGAAATGTCATTTCACTTTTAGCTAGGGATGCACTGATACCGTTATTGCAGTTTCGAGTACTAGTACCAATATTTTGCTTTCAGTACACGCCGATATCGAGTACCGATACAGGTGCTTCCGCCGGCGCTGGCCAATCAAAATCGAGCCGGCCAAACAACATGGAACTGGCTTCCCGGACAATCAGGAAGCCGGGCAGCGGGTAATGACATGGTGCCTGCTTCCTGATTGCTCGGGAAGCCAGTTCCATGTTGTTTAGCTGGCTCGATTGTGATTGACCAGGAAACTGGGCGGCGAGTAATGACCTGCCTTACTGCTTCCTGAATGGCCAGGAAGCCGGCTCCATGCTGAATGGCTGTTCGGCCGGCTCCAGCCAATCAGCATCGCAATGGCTTCTCGGCCAATCGGGAAGCCGGGAGACGGAAGTTCCTCTATCAGGTAAGGTATCGGAGCATTTGGGCGATTATGAGTATGCGCCCAAATACTCTGTATCGACACCGATAACTATACTACTATCGGTATCAGTGCATCCCTACTTTTTGCCCCTTAAGCTGGCCGTAGACCTATAGATTATCTGCAGATTTTCTATGGTCAGATGGAAAAAGTGCAACAGATTCCTCCATCTACGCTAAACTGTGTGGATGGAGGAATCTCCCACTGGGCCAAGCTTCAGTATCTTGCTAGTTGGCCCCGTTGGCAATCAAATTACCTGAACCATGCCTGCATCCAATCAGATTGTTCAGGTATTGTGACAGCCGGCGGGGCTGATTAGCAAGAAACAGAAGCTCGGCCCAGTGGGAGGTTCCTCCATCCACACAGTTTAGCGTAGATGGAGGAATCTGTTGCACTATAGACCATAGAAAATCTGCACATAATCTATAGGTGTATGGCCAGCTTTAATGTGCTTAAATGAGAAGTACAGTTGTATTATTGTATTTTATTGTATAAATTGTATTGTATTGTATTACTAAAATCGCCCATAATTGCCTGTGATCAATCAATCTCTACACATAATATCATAAAATTGAAATATCAGAATGTAGCGTATAGGAACCATTAATCACTAATCATCACGCAATGCTCCAAATCTGTGCAATCGATTGCTACAACATGCAACTTTTTTTATAGTGATGACTAGTGTTTAAACAAGGGCGACTATAGTAGTGTAATCGCCCTACCAAAAAAAAAAGAAAACATTCCAGTGTCCACTCAGCCGAACAGTAATCAAGTGATTGTTTAATAGAGTGCACAAAGGTTAAAGCTTCTGATGGGTCTTTATTCATGCTGTGTGCTAGTCGGGGAGATTTGACCTCACTTCCTGTCCTAGTGACAGTGATCACTGAGGCAAGAGATAAAGGGAGATCTTAAAAAACTGTGAGCCTGATCAGCGGTGAATGCTTATTCGAGGTTTTGCCCTGCTTGTTAATATCTAATAGGGTGGCTTGTGGACTGTCCCTCCATGTTCTCACATTTAATGCAGGACTATGGGCCATTTGTGGGCCTCCGACTGACGGAGCGGAAGGGAAGAGGTTGTGGGCACTGGACAATCCGGCAAGCTAAAGTGCTCTACACAGCCCCCCCCCGGGCATAAATGTACGGTTAACCCTTGGAGTGCATGAGCTTAGCCCCCCTACAAGGGTACTTTTTCCAAAAAGAAAACATTGCTACAATTTTATTTACATAACAGTGACATCGAGTATTATAAATACATTTGTAGTCAGAGCCCCACTGAATACGAATCTGAAAAGAGAGATCACGAACCTGCCTACATAGACCTGGGGTGTGCCGTGGTCACTATGGTCAGTATGCAAAATAAGGGGGCATACTCAGAGTAGATGTTGATGAAAGGGCGAGGATGGTGGGATGACACCAACACGCCGACGGGTGAGTAGTGGAATGGGGGGGGTCTAACTGTGCAGGGCTCCTCCCACAAACCCGCCTAACTAGTTAGCCTACCACTTATACAGCAAGAATATTTAATAACATTGTAGATGGAAAGCATCATTGTCCATGATACAAATATACTGTAACTTTATTGTATCAGCAATACAAGCAAGCGTTGTGACAATACTCCACTATTACCTGCCACCTGAAGACCTGTACCAGCCACTTGTCGCATCCTAAACAGTTAAGTTAGTGTAAATTTGCGAACAGGACCTTTCATCTGGTTTACAATTCTGCATAAATAAATAAATACATAAAATATAACAATATACAACAGAATAACTGTTTGTATTAAAAAAATCATCACCTTATATCATTAAAAAGACGTTCGTGAGCTGTAATCAGTGACCTAGGCTGAGATGATGTCATCAGTCTGCTGCAGACAGGAGGAAGCATATTCTGAGTCTCCTCGCCCCCAGAATCAGACTGCACATTGTAACTTTGTAGCAAATCACAAGGCGAGAGGCTGCAGGAGGGGCTGATCTGTGTCAGGCCCCATTCACACCAAAATCACAAGGTAATTGCAACGCAACGGAGGGTCTGTTGACTTGCGATTGTACCTTTTGATTTCTGTGCGATCTGATCCATTGCAACTTTTAGGCTTTTTTGTTTCCTTTTTTTTATGGGCAAAGGAACATGTCCAGAATGGACGTACTTCACTAAAGCTTGCATTTTTGCAGCATTACCTTGTGTTAACATGCGTTTTTGCAGTGTTACGTTGCATTGCCCTGAACGAAAGTAGAGCATGCTTTTCTTTTTTTCAGTGCAATGGACAGCATCACAACGCAACGCACTGGTGTGAACTCTCCCATTCACACCAATTCATTTTTCATTGCCCTTGCGTTAAAAAATGGGATTGTAACGCAATGCAACAGTGTCGGTGTGAATGGGGCCTCAGACATTTGTGCACAGGGACCATGATTTACAAAAATTGTGTTGTCTCTGAGCTGGTCATCTCAGTCCAGGAAGCAGAGGCTGAATCTGGATGATGCCTAAACAAAGATGGTGCTTTCCTTCTGGAAAC